CACCTGCCCCTCACCTGCCCCATATATCACCCCTCACCTGCCCCATATCTCACCCCACACTTGCCCCTCACCTGCCCCAGGTACTACGCGGCAGTGGAGGCCAAGAAGGAGCAGAGCAGCAAACACGCTCAGAGCTTCGGGGCGCGGCAGCCCACCATGGGGGGCTCCAACCCGGGGCAGGTACGGGGGGGCTTTGGGGGTCCCCGGGGGGGGCAGTTTGGGGGTCCCGCTGACCCTGTGCTCCCCCCCTCCACACCTCCCCAGGAGCGAGGGGTCTGGCTGTCCCTCCTGGAGACGCTGCGGGAGCGGGAGCTGCTGCCCGCGGTGACGTTCACCTTCTCGCGGGGCCGCTGCGAGGACCAGGCGGCCGCCCTGGGCTCCCTCGACCTGCTGAGCGGGGCCGAGCGCGGCAGCGTCCGCCAGTTCCTGACGCGCTGCCTGGCCCGGCTGCGCGGCTCCGACCGCCGCCTGCCTCAGGTGGGGCTTTGGGGGCCTCCCGGGGGCTGCGATGGGGGCGCGGGGGTCCCACGGGGCCGGTGACCCCCCCCGTGTCCCCCCTCTTTGTCAGGTGTTGCAGCTGTCGGAGCTGCTGCAGCGCGGGATCGGGGTGCACCACGGCGGGGTCCTACCCCTGCTCAAGGAGGTCGTGGAGATGCTCTTCAGCCAGGGGCTGGTCAAGGTGCGTGGGGCGGACGTGGGGCCGTGGGTCAGGTGCTGCGGGGTCCTGCCCCGCCGTGGCACTGCCCCATGGCGGCACCTCCAGCCCTGCGCCCGCTCCAGGTGCTGTTTGCCACCGAGACGTTCGCCATGGGGGTGAACATGCCGGCGCGAACCGTCGTCTTCGATTCCATCCGCAAACACGACGGGAACAACTTCCGTGATCTCCTGCCCGGTGCGGGGCCGGGGGGTGGCTGCGGGGTTACCGGGGATGGCCATGGGGCACCCGTGGGGTCACCGGGGATGGCCATGGGGCACCCGTGGGGTCACTGGGGATGGCCATGGGGCACCCGTGGGGTCACCAGGGATGGCCGTGGGGCACCTGTGGGGCAGCATTTGGGGTCTTGGTGACGTCTCTGTTGGGTTCCAGCAGAGCGTTCCTGTAAATGGGGGACTGCAGGGCAGCTGTCGGGGTCTGGGTGCCAAGTCCTAAATGTCCCCGCGGGGTTATACGTGCAATGTGGGTGTTGTGGGGCAGCTGTCGGTCACTGCGGGGCAGGTGGGAAACACGATTGAAAAAACAGAGGGAAATGTGACCAGGATATGTCAGATGAAAGTGTTGGGAGACGAGTGGGAAAACAGCAGGAAATGTGATTGAAAGCTAGTGGGAAATGTGAGGGGAAAATGGTGGGAAACATGAGGGGAAAATGGTGGGAAATGTGAGGAGAAAATGGCGGGAAACGTGAGGGGGAAAATGATGGGAAATGTGAGGGGAAAATGGCAGGAAATGTGAGGTGAAAAATGGTGGGAAATGTGGCGGAAAAAAGGTGGGAAACGTGAGGGGAAAAATGGTGGGAAACGTGAGGGGAAAATGGCGGGAACTGTGAGGGGAAAATGGCGGGAAATGTGAGGGGAAAATGGCGGGAAATGTGAGAAGAAAAATGGCGGGAAACGTGAGGGAGAAAATGGCAGGATATGTGAGGGGAAAAATGGCGGGAAACGTGAAAATAAAATGTCAGGAGCGGTGTTGGCGTGGGGCAGGGCCATGACTGACCGTGTGTCCGTGTTCCCCCAGGCGAGTACACGCAGATGTCGGGGCGCGCGGGGCGCCGGGGGCTGGACGCCACAGGCACCGTCATCATCCTCTGCAAGGGGCCCGTGCCCGACCTGCCCGACCTGCACCGCATGATGCTGGTGGGTCACGCGTGTTCATGCGTGTTCATGCGTGTTCATGCGTCTCTGCCCGTGTCACCCGCACGCGTGACCTCCATGTGTCCCCCCCCAGGGCCGGCCGTCCCCGCTGCAGTCGCGGTTCCGCCTGACGTACCCCATGATCCTGCTGCTGCTCCGCGCCCCCGCCCTGCGCCCACACGACCTGATGCGCCGCAGCTTCGCCGAGTTCCCCCTGCGCCGCGACGCCACGGTGAGGGACACGGGGGGATGTGGGGTGGAGGGACACGGGGACACACCAGGGGGACACGATGGGGAGACACAGGGACACCCCACGGTGAGGGGCACCGGGGGGACATGGTGGGGACACGTGGGGTGGGGGACACTGGGGGGACACAGGGACACACGGGGGGGACATGGGGGGACACACGGGGTGGGGGACACGGGGACACCCCATGGTGAGGGGCACCAGGAGGGACACAGGGGTGGGGGGACACAGGGACACACCGGGGGGACATGGTGGGGACACGCAGGGCGGGGGGACATGGGGACACGCCACGGTGAGGGGCACTGGGGACACCCCCCAATAGGGGTTAGGGGACACTGGAGTCACCCCCCGTTAGGGGTTAGGGGACACCCCCCAATAGGGGTTAGGGGACACTGGGGGACACCCCCCAATAGGGATTAGGGGACACTGGGGTCACCGCAGTAGGACCTGGGCG